AGTCTAATACATTTGTTACAATAATTACCACATAAGCAAATGGGAATTCTCTACGACAGGGGTAAGCAACCTTTTTAATCAATGGGCCAATTTAAATTTAATTTTTTTTTGGCGGCCCGCACATAATAATTTACGAAACTTTATTTATAATAAATATTAGAATAATAAAATATAAAATTCAAAATAAAGATTTCATATACTAATTTTAATGCAAGGTAAAAACCAACAAGAAAAGAACAGAAAAACGAACAAAAAATATTTCGGTTCAGTATGTACTACCATTTTATTATAATTAATTTCATAACAATATGTTGATGGGAGAAATTCGATAAAATAAATTCTATTTTAGAAGTGCTTGGCGGGCCGTATAAACATGATAAACGGGCCGCGCGTTGCTCATCCTTGCTCTACGAGATATAAGTAATTTAAGTTATAATAATGGTCGGTGGGTTCTACTTGTTTCCATTTGGCACGACGTCTACACACTTCTTTCTTACCTTACAAAAAGTTATAAGATTAATAATTTAAACCTTAAATCAACCATCCTAGCGTATTACAGTGTTTTAGGTGCTTTTAATTATATACAAAATAGTAATAATGCCCTATAACAGTAATTATTTTTAATGAATTTATCACATACAGTTAGTACCTACATAGTTAAACTTCAATGTTAGTAATAAATAAAAGTACATTCTATCCTACTGTTGTCTTTTGTAACAAATTTGTGTTGTATAACAAATATGATCTTACGCCCCTCGACTATAAATTATTATGATATCTTTGTTGGTTTACGCGAATTTGACATGTAGGTGTTAAAAAACTAAGCAATCCGTGATACTATGCAGTAGCAATCATGACTACATGATCACAAAAATTAATGATTAACAGGTTACATCCCGTTATTTACAAAGGTTAAAATAAGGAAAATCTAATCTAACATTAGCGTTTTAACGTCTACAACTACATTAACTTTTAATGTAAAATTTAATGTAAGTCAGTAAAATTAAAAAGTAAAAAACCGGCGAACCAGTGCAATCGTTTGACAATATATTGACGACCCGCCTGGCGTAGTGGAAAGTGAACCTGTCTGTTGCGCCAGAGGGTGTGGTTTTGATTCTACTGAAAAAATATTGTGTGATGAACATAGTGTTTTTATATTGTCTGGGCGTTTATACATCTCCAATACGTATTTATTTACAAAATAAGTGGTAAAAAAAGTATGTGTAAGTTATCTAGTACCCATAGTAAAAGCTTTGCTAAGTTTTGGTTGGATAACGTTGTGTATAAATATGTCGTGGAAATATTCATTATTATTATAATGGGCTCTCTTCTACGCAGCGCAAAGCTCACGCTCAGTGATAATAGTCGCCATTTGTCATCATTTAATCGATTCACGAACCCCAACGTGGTGTCATCGAACCACAGCGTATCGGCGATAGCTCTGTTCGCCTTGTGCAGTTTTATGGGCGCATAAATCTTGAGTTATCGCGCGTAGGGACGAACGGGTGTCAAAGTCGTTGATAGAGCAATATCTTGTGATGATAACAGGCAGTCGACGGCTTTATTCCTTTCCGTAATAGGTGCTCATTTCGATGTGGCTGAAGGTTGTGAAACCGCACCTTTAGCGCAATCACGTATAATTTGAAACGCATGCGATAATTCATGTTAGTTCACCACTTTATTAAATACTAGCTACTGCCCGCGACTACGTCTGCGTAGAATAGGCTGAAGGCGTATTATTCAGACAGATATACATAAAATATGTATATACATTATAGCCTATGTCTTATTCTGATTTATGAGCTATATTATTATAAAGTTTCATTAAAATCCATTCAGTAGTATTTGCGTGAAAGAGTAAAAATCATCCATCCATTAGTAAGGATTGATATTTACTCTAACGGTACGGAACGGTTTGACATTGTTAATTAAAATATATGTATACATATATATATATGTATATTTATAACAAATATTTCACGATATTTTTACACAACGTTATCTAGTCCTCCTTAACTAAGCAAAGCTTGTACTGTGGATACTATGTAAAAATAAACAGATAAACATACTTTTCTTTGTAAATATTACATACTCTCACCTCAATCCTAATTCGATAGAGATCTAATCTACACTAGTATCCAGCGATCGTTTTTTTAAAATGATTACTATCATCAGCCTTGATAGCTCAGTGTCCTAGCGCACGTTTTTAACTTTATATTCTCGAGTAACCCCAGTTCAAATCCCAGTGTCAATAAATGAAATTGTGCATCGCATTTTTAGATGCTGACTTGTTCTGTGGTGAAGAAGCCTGCATATTTTCGAAATAATAATGCAGTAGTATTGAGGTCACGAGGAGTTATAGTACTAATATGACCGCATCGTTCTAGAAATTGAATATGTTATCCCGGTCTTATTGTCGAAAATTGCCAGTTCCACGGTATAACGTTTTTTTATATTATTTGTATTGTCTGCCAGAAGTGTCTCACTCAATACAGCGATGTTAATGTTCTGTTTGCCATTATAGGTAGTTCTGTCACAACTATCTATAATGGCAAAATCTATATTTCCACTGTCGCCAATACGTTGGGGTTTTCGAATATAAATCACGCGACGGTCGAACGTTGCGTGTTTCTGTCAATTTGGCAGTGTGGCCATTAACGTACCTAGCTGCCTATAATTAGACCAATCTGCTAATTGCTGCCGCTGTAGCTAACTATACGTGTGCGCAGAACATGGCGGTTACGACACGGCTATGCACATGTACACAATTAATGCGTTACGTACGCAATGCTCTAATTAGGGATCGTCAAATAATCAATGAGGCTCGAAGGAGGGGCGGGGGGGGGGGGGGGGGTTGAGAGATTTCAGAAAAAAGCAATTGAACACGCGATCCTCAAGCCGAACGAACTTGTGAGCTTGATTCGCTGCTGCCCTGTCGCTTGCCCAGAAAAAAGGCCGCCTCAAAATTTTTATCACGGTCGGTGGAAGATGATAATGTAATTATTTAATGTAATTATTGATGAGCTTGTAATTATTACCATAACACTGGAAGTTTTCACTGCGACTGCACTAGAGATTGCTGCTCTTCGATGCAATTTTACCACGCGTGATGGTTTTTGTCGGTTTTGGTAAAATTATTTGAATCGGTTCAACAATTCGAACATTCCGAATATTCTCACCGGTTCTCGACGAGATCGGTTATGAAAATTTCATATTTATTAGACCAGGCATAGTAAGAGTAATGGAGAAAAATTATATCTATTATTTTTGCAGTAAAATTTTACCCGAGATGTTTCCCTTTAACGCAGAGAAGCTGGACTTGTAATGGCTAGCAACGGTTGAAGCCATTGATTTAAAATTTAGCACAATTGGAAAAATGTTACCTATTTAATTATATATAAAAAAGTTCTTAATATAATGTATGTTTTAATTGACAGGAAAATTTTATACATTTATTAATGTCCAGATTACATGTTAACGAAACATGTTGTGTACTACAAAGTAAACAAAATTTACACAATATGGCCGTAGAATAGTGCACTTTGCGAGGAACGTAAAATTGTATCGGAGTGAAACACTTTGCTAGAGTACTATATTAACGGCAGCCAATAAGAATCAGGTATTAGTGAAACATTAAAATTTTTAGAAACAAAGAACAAAAAGTTGTTCGCCTTCGCTTCCGCAATCGCGCCCCGACTTGGTGGTAGTGGGTTCGATTTCCGCAGCGGAGAAAAGCTTTTCGCCTATTTTTTCTGAATAAAAAAAAAAAAGGTTTCATTTCAAGTACAGAGAAATAGTACTATAAAAATTTAAACTTCAGTGTTATAATATTATTTATGATAAAATTAATAGTGTAAATTTTTTTATCGGATTAGTTATGTGATTCTAATTATCAAAGTTAAATGTTTTAGGTCTTAACCTTTTTAAATTGCCATTTTGTATGAATTAAGTTAGTTTTTTTTGCAATGCAATGCAATCGATATTCATCTTTGCTAACGCAGTGGTAGTATATTGATGCCCTTCTTCACTGATACGGAAGGTGTCGTGGATATTTTCACGTAGGGGAAGAAATTTTGAAGTCAATAACTCGCTTAGCTGGTAGTGAAATCACTGGATATTTTCCATACTCCATGTGCAGTAGAAGTTTGCTTAGTTTCGACATCTAAGCCTACGTTGCAGAAGGATTTCATAGAATGTTTGCAAAGCGGTAAATACTTTTACTCCTATGATCGATGCTTATATGAACCGACTTCAAAAAAAGAGGGTTTATTACAGATTTTTCTTTATAAAGCGGTAAAGATGCTGATTTCTATTATTACCTTATCTTAGAAAGAGCGTACTTCAGGGATTGGTGACATTTGTAATTTTAAATTCTTAAGAGCACACAAATGATACTTGGATGTGTTAAGGGAGATACTCGGTTTGACTTTATAGTTGATTATTTTACATTTTATTGAACGGAAAAAGTTTTTGAAAAAAGTACATGAATTGAAGCAAATTACAGTTTCTTAGAGAATTCATGTAATTTCTGTGGGAAAAGCCACTGAACATAGTGAAGAAGTAGAAAAGATCGTTTGGATATCCAAATATCATATAGTACGAGTATAGGTACTACACAATGGTAGCATATTAAAGTGTTCATTATTTTTTCCAAACAAGCTGAATGTTATTTTTGAAAGGTGTCTCCTTTCTGTGTCAAAAATTGAGATTTCTTTTTAAAAACTTAAATTCATATGACAAAAATAATATTTAACTCGGGGTTAGTATAGAATTCTGTGAAAAAGAAATAAAAGAAACAACATTTAAGTTTATTATCAGAGTCTTATTATTCATTTTGTACTGCGTAAATCTGCAACTGGGCGCGGCCGCTGCATCTCGTCTGCGAGCGCCTAAATAACGGCCGGAGATCGATACAGGCGCCATCGGGATACGGGGCCGTTGCCTGAAGTCAGCAGCAGGTCGCTCGCTTCTCTCGCAGGCGGCGCACTTCGGAGCGCTGCATGTTGCATCGACGCGTAGCACTTGACGTCAGCGCAATAAAGTCGGTTTCCGTTTGGCAGGAATCCCTCGGCGGGGTCTACGGTTCGACGGGGGCGTCGGGGGCGGAAGGTGGGGAGAGACGGGAGGGGGGCAAGCGCGGCCGAAGACCCGGCAGGAAGGCGCAACTCGATAAACAGGACATGAAAGCCAAACTGGGTGAGTGAATGATCAGTCTGGGACAGTGGTGATTTCTCTTTGTCGTCACTCGACACTGCCTCGTATTGTTTTTTTTTGTATTTTGTCTGGAAGAGGGCAGGTAGTTAGACTCAACGGCCACTGCGATCTAGGAGATCTATTTAAGTCTTCCCTTCGAAAGTAATGCCCCCTTGCTATGGGATAACAGCCGTTTTGTATGCACAAATTTCGCGTGGACAAACACCGATATCAGAAACAATTATCTGTGGGTCACACAAATAGTTGTCTCGTGTAGGAATCGAACCCACGATCCCAGGCGCCGATGGCAATACTTTAATTCCATATTGCTGATTGAAGATATTTATTTTTATCTCTGCGTGCATTGCAAATTGCTCCTAAGTGTCCAAGAGAATCAAACATGTAATATATAAAATTCTCGTGTTTGTAATTGAACTCCTCCGAAACGGCTCGACCGATTTTCGTGAAATTTTTGTGTGCATATCGGCCAGGGTGGAGAATCGGACATCTATTTTTCATCCCCTTAAATTTTAAGGGTGGTCCACCCCAAACATTTTTTTCTACCCTACAAATAACCATATAGATTATTTGTAAAACAACGTTTGCCGGGTCAGCTAGTAATTTAATGTAAATGGTAATATAAAACCCAACAATATTGGATATTCGTCTACAATTTGTAGATAATTATTTATCTTATTTGTGTATATTTACTTAATTCGATTCTACGAACCAGTATATTAGGTATACGATATATAAACTCACATTTGAATATCTTACCGATGGCTCGGCGGTCACAGCCTATCCAAATAGGTAAAAAATTAAAGTGTAATACTACAGTAAAAGTTTTAAAATTAACTGAATATAAAAGTTATAAATATATAATCTTTTTTACTTTTATAATATACACATTTACCGTTGTAGTGTAAAATTGTCTATATCAACGAAAATCATAATTCCTTATCTGCTTGCTTCAAAAAGTTCAAAAGGTTGTGTCAAACTCATTTCTCACATCTGTATTTAAAATCTTTCCTGTAAATTTGACTGTGAAACATTGTTAATTAATTTGGCGCCGTCAAGATACTTCGAATACCTTTATGGCAAAATTCTATGCATGTACTATTCAGTCAGTCTCAGAAATGGATTTGTCAGCTTAATACAACAAAGAAGCCAACTTAAGTTCAACTTCTTTGACCTTGTCCAGACTCCGCCAAAGCTGCGTATCTTTATCAGACTTAGGAAGAGATTTAGACGTGAGATATCTGAGCGACAGTGAGATATTTGAACTAGAAAAAACAAAAAACGGAGGAACTACTTGCGCCCCTTTCTAAAATCATAAACCAATTCGAGATAGGTACAAAATGTTATGATAGGTAGGTAGGTAGATAAGAATTTCATCTGCTTGTAGTTTTTTTTAAAACCTTATTATTCCTGATTGACTCATTAAGTATAGTGGATAATCAATTAAGGCTCTGTATATACGTAGGCAATCCACGTTAAAGCGATTTCATCTTATTTCGAATTCACCGCGTATTGCGCGCCATATTCAAGCTCCCAGACATGATAATTATGCCCCTGCATTCGCATCCCGTGTATCGACTCGAGAACATTCTAGAACGCATCGGATCGATTGGGCATGCGCGTGAATATCGGGTCGGAGATTGGTGGCGCGCTTTTCCCCTGCTACATAATTGTATAAGCAACGCCATTATGCAAAACGATACATCAACACCTTACGATTATTATGTATTTGAGCTTACTGTTTCCGTTGCATAACGTTACGTGAGAAGGCACCGCGATATATGCGAAGCATATCCCGCCATCTTCGTTACAGTGCATCAAACAAAATCTTGATTCGTACTATTACGTCTTGGAATTTTTTTCTAAATTTACACTTATATTGTGTTGTTTAGACTGCGCGGCCTAATTTCTCTCTTACGGACATTTGGTAACAATAGTCGCCTCGGCTGTTATCCCAAAATAGACATCATCTACGCCATTATTTCAATTCAAGTTTGCAGATAATATCATTTATGATCGCTTTATCTTGGATTAGTTCATATTTTGTAATTGATTTGAAACTTTTAGCATGGCTCAGATCTGGATAACAGTGCAACACTATCTCAGCGTCTTGTATGTCTGCCAGTTTTTGTTCCATACAGAGTAAGTTCACCCTATATTTTAGATAGTTCATTAAGTGGCGTATTAAAAGTATATAGTAGAAGTATTATTTTATCTTTTATAGTAGAAGTATTTTTTTTTATTGCTTTTAAAGCCACTTTCTTGTCTTTTGTAAATAACAAGCGCAAATGCGCGATTAAAACTGACGCCGATGCGTCGCATGCCTTAAGTTCGATTCCCGAAAGAGACAAGCCTTTGAATAGCCTACAGATAATCGTTTCGACTCGCTTCATGTCCATGGGAAATTTCACGCATGTAGCATGTCTAGGGTACCTTAATCTTATCCTACTATGATGTATCACTACATAGTATAAAACAAAGTCGCCCCGCTGTTTGTCTGTCCCTATGTATGCTTATCTTTAAAATTACGCAACGGATCTTGATGCGGTTTATTTTACTAGATAGAGTGATTCAAGAGGAAGGTTTATATGTATAATACGTTGCACCCGCGTGAAGCCGGGGCGGGTCGCTAGTATTTCTATGTAATAGAGCTCGCGGAAATTCGCGCGTAGAAGGTAAGGCGTAGTTCGGTTCTGCGCATTTCTAGAAGGTTCGATGTCGGAGCTCGGACGGACATGCGCAGTCCCAGGCCAAGCTGGGGCGGTCGCCCATAATGGGCCATCAGTTCGAGCTTTACCACCAAGCGCGATGCCTGCCACCGCAACCGCCCCGGCGTCGAACATTACAATGGAAGCCCCCGACTAGTGTTGCCACCACAATTCGTTTTAATTTTCCTTTAGTTTATTTTCTTTAATACCTGTTATTTGGTTTGGTTGATTTTTTTGTTTTATAATTTGTGAAAATGCGAGCGACACCCTCAAGGCGGAATTTAACAAAGAACAGGTAACGTTTTTTTTTAATAATTATCGTTACAATTTATAATAACAGTTCGGCGAACAGTTCAATGCTTAGTATATTTATATGATAAATAGTTAATTAATCTTTAGTATGTATATTTTATTTTGAAATAATCTGCTAAGTTTTATATTGAATCATATTTCTGAAGGATATTTTTTTATTTTTTGTTAAAGTTTGTTAAAAATGTTCCCTAGAAAAGTTATTTTATTGTATTTTCATCACTTTATAAGATACACCAAATGTTTTTGTTCAACGTAAAATTTATTTGAAGACTGTATTTTTTTTTATAATTTCATTTATTGCGTATAATTTTTGATTCTTAATCGAGATTATGGTATATATTCGTTATATTATTCGTTTCTTTGTGAGCCATCGCCCACCTGCGCAAATCAATAGTGGACAGCGCACCTGTCCATTGCGCAGGCGCGTGAAAAATCAATACTGGAACGTTCTGGAAGGTAGCTCCGGACCAATGGCAGCGGTTATGATATATAGTTATACAATATACATGTAAAGTTTCGGCGTATATTCATATCGCGGCGCAGTTCCTTTGTCATTCACTTACAATTCAATTTGAATACGTGGGATTCGAATTCTGATTTCTGATTTTCTTTTCTTTCCTATCAGACAGTTCTTTGGTAGGTTTTTCATCAAAATGGAATAATAAAAAAAGTTTAATTGAGATTATTCCGGATTCTAATTTACAATTCGTTACCCTACAAGCCTTTGTTAGCCATTGATGTGGATGTTGCGGTGATGTGAGACTTCGTGGCCTTTAAGCTCTTGGGCTAACACGCCTACATGCCTACATCTAGAGGCTCTCCTTTTAGAGAGGATTTCTTTCTCGCCCAAAAGTATATAATGGAATCTATTACTAAATCATTAAGAGGTAACTTCCATCAACAAAGTAAGTTTCGGCGCGGGGTTACATTCTCAATAGAGACAAATATTTGTGTCACATACTTGTGCTCGTAATATCTGGTTACTTGTCCGGGTGTTTAATCATCATCATCATCATTTCGGCCTGTTCTAGTCCACTGCTGAACATAGGTCTGCAAAGTAGATATTTGTTGCCTTTTCGTTTCAATACGAACTTCATATAGTTAAGCGACTCGATCTTCGCTAAACTCTACCTAGTTAAGGTTCTTAACTACTGCCTTGCCGTTCATAGATATTGGCAGCAGCAGAGAATGCGCACGCGCGTTGCCAATCAAAGGGAGTGGTTCTCCGGTTACCTCACTGACAATGGAGCCGCGATACCTCAGTGTCCGTGCGCTAGGTTTCAATTCAATATACACTAGCAACCCGGATTCAAATCTTGTTGCTGGTACCAATGAAATTTTTATTTGCACTGACTTATCAAGTGCTCAGCGATTAAGGAAAGGGAACCTGCATATTTTCGAAATGATAACAAAAAGAAATATTTCGAAGGTATCTGAAGTTTGACTCGCGCTATTCGGGTCGCGTGGTGGACTATGCCCTAATACCATCTGTGCATACGAGACCTTTGTCCAGCAGTGGGACTTATACAGGATGTCGTTACCATCGCGACAATAAATGAACACACATATAGGGGATAACTTTTTAAAGTTGTATTAAACATTTAAATTCTTTAAACATCAATATTTACAGAGTTATTAAATTTTCCAAAACAAAGAATTTTAGAACAACCTTACATATAAAAGCGTAACATAAAGTTCATTTGTAAAGGTCACAAAGCATACGAATGGGTTGAATGAATTTAAAAGAGACAAAACATACTGTTCGAAGGAGAGGCTTGTAATACGACGCTGTGGCGCGAGTTGTATAGGATGTTACAAATTTTGTTTCTTTTTTACTTAATTAGTTTGTTTGAAAAATATTTTTTTTTAATAATGGATTTTGTTTAACGTTAATATTTTTTTATGATTATTGGCAAGTAGCGTTAGAAGTGTCTTCATTTATTGTCGCGATGGTAACGACACGCTGTATATGCTGTTACTTTCCTTTGTGGCCTATTGGTACAGCAGTGGAGGCACATTGGATTTAACGCTCTTCTGTTGACTCCAGAGCGCAGCAGGCAGTCTGCGCGCGAGTGCCGCGCCCGGAAGAAACTCCGCTACCAGTACCTGGAGGAGTTGGTGGCAGACAGGGAGCGAGCAGTCATCGCGCTCCGTAAGGAGTTGGACAAGGTGAGCGTCGAACCTCTGACCCTCAAAATCCTCGTGAACATCTACTTCCTTGTCAGGCCTTATATTCTGCAGCGGTCATAAGCTGTTTTTTTTTATATTTGATAATAGCTAATATTAAAAGGATTACTACATATTGTCAAATAGAAATATTTTACGAACATTTTCGCGTTTTATTTGGATTCGGACTGTACATGATGTGTTCGCTAATAGTGGAATATTCGCTTATGCTATATTTTTTTTTATTTATTTCTATAGAAAATGTTCAAGTGTAATGTTCTCTTTGCGATCCGAAATAAAAAAGAAATCCATGGTAACGGGGGAGGCTAAAAGCTAAACGGACGGGATTACAATCAAAATAGAATCAAGTTCGAATCGGTTCGAATCGGTGCGAAAATTAACGGCGAATAATCGATTACTTTTATATATTATCGATTAGTTTAACGGTGTATTTATTCCACTTTCCAGTACTACAAATGGAACCTCGAGCTGGATCAGGGGCGGATGCCCGAGGGCCTCGAGACGATGATGAAGGAGCTGGGCGGGGTGAGCCAGGAGGAGATTAAGCAGTTCTAAGTTCGGGTTGCAGTGGCGGTTCCAGGTAACAGAGGCGGGGAACCATGGAGTTCGCACAAAATCAAGGGAGTTTTGCAGGGTCTCAGGATTTCACGGGCGTGCGGGAGGCGGGCGGCGATGGCGTGTCCTCATTAATTTACCGTTTACAAAAAAAAAAAAATTGCTTTCGATTCGTCCCCCTTCTACGATTTTTTTAGATCGTACGTTTGATTTTCATTTTGATATGTACAATATCGCACCTTTTGGAACGGTAACAAAGAACTCAAATATAGATTTATTTTGTATACCCTATTGAAATATGTATTTTTTTATGAGTGTAATATCCTAATACTGTCATGTAGTAAAAGTAAACTTGTACGTAGAATTTTTTTTTCATAGTTATCATCGGTTACGTTTTGGCGCCAAAAAGTTTTAACTTTGTATAATATTTTTCAAATTGTTTCGATTGTTAATGCGTTGCGCGTTACATAACATTTTATTCCTAACCTATTCCAAAGTTTTAATTTGTTTTCGTCTATAACGTTTGTAAACGAATCATTTCGTTATCGATATCGTTTTTATTTTGTTATTATAGAATAAGTACCTAAATGTTTCTTCACGTATCTATATACATGTAACGCTGTTGAAACTTTAACCTCTTTTAAATTTAAGCATTTTTAGGGTAAGCATGTAATCTTGTTTCGTTCATCGTATTTGGAATGTTAACGTTTAAAATGTAATTTCTTTCTATTCATATCTTTATTAGTCATCTAAGATGGCATACTCGTCAAGGGAGTGATAAAATCATAGTTTGTACCGCGCCCGTTGCGACATGGCATTGTCGATTTCATCTGTACCCAAAAAAAAAAATGACATTCCATGTCGCAACTTCGATTTGCTTACTTATTTCTATTAATTTAGATTTTAATTTTATTACGAGGTTATATCGCTAAATAATAAATAATCTTTGTTTAACACCAAGCACCCTTTCGATTTTTGTATACGGTCGCTTTGTGAAAATTTTATTAATTTTAGCCACAGGCAAACACACGGATCGTTTGAAAGTTGCGACGCGTCGCTTTTGCATCCGCTTCGGTATATATTTAGACCATAATTTCTTCGGCGAAAATAATTTTTCTCATTTCGAATTCAGCCAATTTCATCAATCACCGTTTTTTTCCACGCGAGTAAACTTACTGTTCGGACTAGTAAGCTGTTTACAATTCGGAATGTGCGTAACTTTGACGTAGAACTTAAATGACAACCCCATGATATACATAGCGAAATGGTAGAGACCATTCTGGAAGGGACGTCGCTTATCTGCTATTTAGCGCGACTGAAAGCTGTTAACCTGCTTTTTATAACACCGGCCACGTCGTTATATGCGATATTGCACCTCCAATTCGTTATGAATAGCAACGGGAGTTTTTCTACAGACGCGTGGACCTAAGACGGCGTCATTTAAGGATTCCAGAAAATTTTCAAGTCCGCCGAATCTTATCGATTTATTGCATAGTAAGCCTTAATATATATTTTTTTAATTTGCGTACTTCCTTCGTTCAATTATTAGTTGTAATATTATTTTTCGAAACATTTTACGTGGATGATAGTCGATTATTAAAATAGAGCTTTTTACAATTTTTAAGTTTTTGTATAATACTTATTTTATTTAATAATTTTATCTTTGTCGGCAATCCGCCTTTCATAACTTAAGCGATGATTGATTATTTCAATTGTATATATTATATAAGTAAAGGTGTCAGGTAGTAAATAGGGTCAATATTAGCTTTTATAAATATATTTAAGTAAAGGTAAGCAGACAGTAAGAAGGGTCTAAGTTAGCTAATTTAATATAACATAAACTTAAATATATAATATATCTTACATCGTTAAATGGGTGACGTTATAAGTTCGAAAGGCAATGTTACATTGTATTAAAATATGTCTACATGAAATTTATGAATTGGCCAAATCATGACATATTTTTCTACCAAAAGACTTGAAACATCTCATCTTTATAACATTTTAAATTCGATTACGTGGAGTTCCCTGGTGTATCTCCAGAGTCGAGGGATAGTGCCAATGTACCAATTAAATTAACACGCAACTGCACCGCGCTTACTGGACGTAATTCAAGAAGAAATTTTTAAAATCGCTTAACAAGGTTCCGAGTTAACAAATATCAAATGTATGCAACAAAATTGACAATTTGTATTCAGCCAACATTGTCGTTCGAACTTTCTCGAAAGTAGATTAAGTTAGAACTTAGCGATAGCCGCCGTAAGGTTTTTTTTTTTTAATTAATTTTCTCTTGCGTTAGTTTTACTAATTTATTGAAAAACCAAGAATCATCTCTAATTTATCATTATTTAATAATTTCGTTTTCTATTAAAACAACATCTGCGTGCAAAGGTCACTCCCGCAGTGGGTATTTGCATTGGACTATGTTATCACCGAGTATGGGCGATTTCACATAACGGACTGTGCTGATGTGGTTGTTTGTTTGTTTAGATCTTGACACGAACTTTTTTTACTAATGCAAGTTGTGGCTGTCAGGCGGCGGTAATCACTTAGCATCAGGTGAACCGCATGTAAGTGCCACTACATACGTTTTGGTACGTTTTAAAGGTTGATCTTTTCACCTGCAACTTTGATTTATTATTGTTATTGTTTCACTTATCTGGGCAGAATCGCCATCTCTCAATAGGTGGTTAAAGTTATGCCGCTTGATTTGTAATCGATCGGAGATATTTTTGAATATTAAATGACTAATCTAAAATGTTATATTACTCTCTTAAAATCCATACGTTATATTTCCCTACTAACATTGGTGGTGTTTTTTTTAATAAGATCCAGTACCGTTACCTTATGCTCTGCATTCTCAAAATGTATTTCATATCTCTGTAAAATTTTACATAAAAATTAATACGTTCGTAAGTTACCACCGGTTCGGAAAGCAGTTTCTGTTGAGAAGAAACCGGCAAGAGACTCAACAGTTGCTCTTTTTTAAAACGATTAGTTTACAATATAATAGAACAAGTATGTCATTTTAGCCTACGTGAGTATCGACAGCATTAACCCCACACATTGGCGTAGTCAAGATATTCCGCAATGGTATAATATGCCTTAGCCATAACATGCGTCATTACTTTCATAACAGCTTTCATAGCTTTCATATCAATTGCGTTCGTTTAACACGCATCAGTTCGTCATGTGTAATCGTGTCCGCGAAGAGCGACCTCGCTTTGTACACAACCGTACCAAGTGTGTACAAAACGAGTCGACCACATACATACTTCATACAACCAAATGGAAATCCACCTCAAATAGTTTATACCTTTTCGTTCCTAGTACGTAAGATTGTACATTTCGTGAAAAAGACTACGCCGGGGACTAAAATTATATATTAGGGCCTTTAGATGTAATTGTACAGCATTGAATGTAAGGTTCAATAAGATTCGACAATTAAGAATTTAATCGATTAAGAGTAGTTTAACGACTAGTTGCGATGGCCGCGCTGAAAAGTCGACGCTATCCTAGTCGCGCTTAGATTTCCTCATTTTGTTTCAGCTTTCAATTAGCTTGTTAGTTAGGTATCGCGTCTCCCAGCTTTAATTTCGCTTTTATAGGTTAAGTGTACATTTTTCCAAATAATGGTTCAGTTTACGCACATCTTTAGTGTTACTTAGCGTAAGTTATACTGAGCGTAAGTTAGTTATACTGAGCGTAAGTTAGTTTTACTTAGCGTAAGTTAGTTTTACTTAGCGTTAGTTAATGGTACTTAGCGTTAGTTAGTGATACTTGGCGTTAGTTAGTGATACTTGGCGTTAGTTAGTGTTAAGTTACGTCTAATGAATGGTGTTAGCATGGCTCGATGATATGACTTTATAGTTAGTTCTTAAGGGTCGCTCGGCGATAGAAGCAGTGGTCATTAATAATCGGACGACGGCATTCGCACTTATGGTCGATTTGTTAAAAACCTTTCAACGTCTCAAATCTACCATTTACTATTAAACGAGTCCGCCACAAATCGATAACATTAGATGAATATCATAGAAATGCCAAGTTGTGCATTTTAAGTCGTACATATTCGAAAGATTTTGTTTGAAAGCCATTGGTACTATATAAAATAACATGATCAATCTGTACTTGAACATCTAAAATACTTTAGAACAAAATATAAACAGTTTGTTCTTTACCATCCGACTTTCATATTAGTGGAAACAGATTCCATCTAACAAGCAGAACTGATCAAAGAACTAGTGCCAGGGAATAGTTAATCGAGACACAGCTGTAAGTTATATTAATGTTTCATTAAAAATTGCCGACGACAGATGATTTGCAATTTTTTTTTTAATCAAACCGAATTTAATCGAGAATCGATTTTGGGCATCGATAAACTTTTATCTCGACTTTAACTTGACACCTTGTATCGTAACCTTAAATATATTCTTATGGCGTTTACGTATTTACCGGAAGAGTAGCCTAAATAATGTCACGGTGAAATGTCCTAATCGTAACGCCTTGCGTTTGTATTTAAGCCGAACTTTGAAGATATGATTGAAGATGTACCATCATAAATTGTTCGTTTAATTTGTCGATCGTAAGTGGAATGGATACTGAGGTCTTGGTGAAAACGCGCTCCGCCGTAAAAATGACGTTAGGATATTATAATTAATTATAAGTCTAAATCAAGAATCCCTAAATAAAGTAAGGAATAGGTTAATTATTATGTAAGGATGTACATTTTGAAATCAACTGCTATTGAAACCGAGTAAACGAGTAGCTGTAAATAGTTTTTTAAGTAAATCGATATATATATTTTTTCAAGCATTGTTAAGAACATAGTACGAAGCTATTTAATCCCAGTGATACTTTAGGAATAGGTAAGTTAGGTTCTTTAACACTTATGAGGTAGACAAGTTTTTGCGATTGTTTTTTTTTAAATTGAAAACGCGTTATTCCCGTCTTATTTTGTAAAATCTCAAGAAATAAGTATAAACAAAAAACAGATTATA